CCGTAAACAAAGTTTGCCTGAGTTTTCATGATAGATGATAAGAATCCCAGGCGCATTAACCCAAAAGGTATCGGGCTCATATATATATATATATATACATCTCTCTCTCTTCTTCTTCTTCTTCGGGCGTTGGAGGCCCCTACGGACCCCCCGACGCGCAGCGTCGCGCCCCGCAAGTCTCTGTCCAGTCGGGCACTTGCGAGGACCGATGAGCTGATGCACCAAGCAGCACAAACCAACTAAGTATCTCTCTCTCTCTCTCTCCATCTATCTATCTCCCCATCGATCCCTTATATATACCCCTAAGTTAGGCCGTGATTTCCTGCCTCCTCGACCTTGCGCTTTCGAGTCCGTAGACATTCAGATTCGAGCTCTCCGCAGCTGGAGATCACAGCCTACTTTGACATAAGGGAATATATTGGGGGCTATATAGGGGCAATGGAAAAGAAAATGGAAACTACTACATTGTAATGGGCTATATATTGGGGTTCTGGTAGGGAATATGGGAATGTAGATGGGCTCAGGGCTGAAGATCCAAGAGTTTTTTTGAAGGAAGGGGAGCTTGAGGGCATACCAGGCTCAGGGACTTGGGTGTCAGGGTTGAACAGGTTCAGGGACTAAAGAGGAGGGTGGGGAAGGACGGATATAGGGATCTTCTGAGCATAGGGTTTGCTGAACTCCATGGTTCCATTTGCGCAAGGTTGTCATGGGGACAAAGAAGTTGTAACAGAAGAAGGATTCAGGGTCTAGTTTCCGGCTTCACGGGTAAACACCATTTACCCAGTGGCTCCTGTCCCTCCTTGCGTTCCTCCGGATCTTAGGACTCAAATCCGAGGTATAGGACTTGTACCACTGCTACCATCTGCCTGCACTGCCATTTCGCTTGCTATTACTTCAACTATTTCCAGTCGCTATGACCAGCAAAAGGCGCAGAACAGTCACAGGATGTCACAGGTGTGCAGATCACAGCCTCGAAGAGGGGGGTGCCGCCCTTCGTGCCCATCGACTCGAGCTGCGCCAGGCATGGTGTGAGTAGACATGGAGGGTTGTCAAATTCTAGTCCCTTTGTGTTGGCTCCCTGTTCTACGAAGGCCCCCCAATACCAATTTTGACCACCTTCCAAATGCTGTGTATTCTCTCTCCCATCACATGTTCAAGTTTAGAAGTGGATCCTCATGTTGGGGGAACCGGTTTCTCATGCAACCGAATACATACATGTATTAGGTATAAAGAGATCATCGCAACAAGGACAGGGCTGAAGCCACAAGTACACTCATTCCCATAGGCTGTTTTTTTTCCCGAAATGGCGAGCCCCTTAAACACATGCCAGTATATTGTATTCCAGATTTTATGAACTCCCACAGGGGACCTCCCTATTTTGGGGAAAGACCCTGAACCATAAACCCTGTATCATCAACCGGGTCTGGTTAGTCCCTAAACCCTATATATACCCTAACCCCCAAAAGCCGAATCCCAAAAGCCGAATCCTAAACCCTAAGCCGGCCTTCGAAAGCTTATCAATACCTTCGATAACCCGGCCGAAGACGACGTGCTTGCCGTCCAGCTTTGGCTCTGCCTACGTGGGAAAGGTACAGGGTGGGCCCAAAGTTAGTCTAGACCATGCACCGTCTAAGATCTGTTCTAATCAATGTTCATGTTGATTTGTGCAAATCGATTCACGATTCAAGTGTATGTATATATATATATACAACTAATCTATCTATATAATCAGGTAGCGGATTTGGGATTAAGGCTGTGCAGGGTGGCCTTCCTCTGAGCAGGAGAATGGTGCGTCAATCCCGCCTTCGAGGTGAAGAAGAACTGGGAGGTTTGGACTCCTTCCTGACCTCTTTTGTGGGCCATTGAAACCTGAAGAAGAAGGTAGGCGTCAAGCAATCACCTCTGCTAGAGCTTCTGAGGGATCCGCCAGACCGGGGCGGTCATGTTTCAGCTTGAAGTTCTCGCACCCAAAAGTTCCATCACCATCCTTTCAGCTCACATCTGCGTGACACGGCTGCCGAAGTCTCTCAGCTCCTGGTTGTAAATAGAGTCGCCACCGGAACCATCGCCCTTGGTGATGTCGCCACCTGCATTTGGACAAGGATGCATGTCAGGCGCAGCCCAGGTTTGTCAGCATGCCTTGGATGATCTTGCCCGGAATGATCTTGTGAAACCTTGCAACGATGCATACGTTGCAGGCGCGACTGGCTTCCTGCCGCTCTTGTACTCAGGCGCTAACCTACTACCCTTGAAGGACAAGGGCTTGCCAGAGACGGCGCTGACCCCCCGTTCTCCTAAAGTGCAAGCATCCGCAATCAATGAGCTTTTATGCTTCATGCGTGGACGAAAAATCAGTGGCAACGTGCCTGTGCAAAGGCAGCGGAAGTTTTCTACAGTCTTGGGGACCACGTCGCCGAAGAGTTCCAGCACAATGCGGCCAAGTTGTCTCTTGTGGAGCTCGATCTGTTTTCAGAAGCGCAGTCGCGGCGTGAATGGATTTTGCATGCTATCCTTCTAGATTTGAGCTCCATAAGGCTTTGTAGCAGCCTCTTGTGCACCCCCGCCTCAAGGAAAACCTTGGGTCTCTTCTCCTTGATGCTTTGAGGCTGGTTCGCCTGCGACTATCCCACCCAAAAAGCAGTCAACTAGTCAGTTCATGCACATACATCGCGAATACACAGCTTATCTCATGAAGCAATTGGATCCGCTGTGGTGCCGGGTCCTAAGTACTGCAGAATGTAGCCGCTTTCATGTCCCTTTCAACACCGCAGAACATAACAAAGAAACTGGCTCATCTCGCGCTTTCCTGCTCCTTGTCTCATTACAGCATGGTTTCGAGCCATGTCTCTCATAGACAATGGACAAGCAGAAGAAATGACAACCGATAGAGTAATGCCTCACCATCTGGCCGAGTGCTTCCTCCGGACCAGCCCTTGCCATCACCTGACTGTTGTCTTACCTCCAAAAGTCTCAGCACCCTTCACTGGCAACATTTCTGCAAGTTGCCTTGCTACCGGAGTTGTTGGATTGGGTTTTTGTACTTGCTTTGCTGGCTTGTACTAGCGCTTGTACTAGCTTGATGAGGACTGTCAGGGTATACAGGTACTTGTTGAGGCCCATCTGCGGGCTACATGACCTACCTGGCATTGTGCGGCCTACCAACCCTCTCACAACCCACGCTGAGACAAGACAAAATCCTTCGAAAGCTCTCTCAAACCTACCTGGGCCCCCAACCAAACCCTAAATCCTAAATCCTTCACCCCCAGATCCTTAGGAACTGGCCCACGATGCCAAGGCCGGTCCCAGCCGACTGTGTGATGGGAGACATGGCGGCACCAACACAGATTACTGGCTGCAAGATGTTAGTAACACTATCCACCCTCCTGTCAACAAATCATCATAACGCAGTGTAGAAGAGCAAGCGATGCTGTGGCTTGTGCCTCTATCAGAAGCGAGGATGACTTCAGTCACTTGAGCTTGTTGTGGTTTGCCAGGCAAGGGTAAGGCTTAGGAAACTAGGGCTGATACCGCAATGGTGATGGGAGCTGGCAGTTGCTAGGTAGGATGATGGACCACATTGACTCATTTCTTGTTTTTCAATCGTACAACTGTGAATATTGTCGGCTTCCTACCCCAGCTCTCGTACATGTGCTCATTTGGTATAGAACATACTGAAGTCAAGCAGTGACTCTGTTTAGGGGCTGAAAGGCCCTTGCCTTCTGCTGCATGGCACATGAAGCCGAATTGTACATGAAGCGCCTTTCACCCTGCGAGCCACGAAGCAAAGATGTGCAGTCTTGGCATGCACGTTGGCTTTCTGGCCAGTGCGCATGATTTGTGAGCTGGAGCTGGGGGGGTGGGGGGGGGGTAACTTCCCAGGGGAAGCTTTGCCAGCGACCCCAAACTCCAACCAATGCTTGCGCAGTGCAGAGGAAGGTGTCGGTATGTGCGCTGCGCATACTTGAACCTGGTGAACAGAACAATGGCCCCCTCACCTTTTCAAGCCTGTTGAGAAGACAACCTTGCGCATGCCTGCTGCATGAGCACAGACAAGGAAGTAGCTTTTTGCTGAAGACTCTGAAGCCTTGCACGCATCCAGCGCTATTCACGTCTTTCGTGCAGCGGCTCAGAGCTCCTCCAGATATTTGGCCCAATGCGGATACCTGTGCAGCGAGTCTTCGTATTAAACGCAGAACGGTGAACATGCTGTAGTTTTGCTGGTGCACAGGGCCTGATGTCATCCAAGTTGATCTCTCGTGGCCTGGCAGTGTCTGCTTAGGGTTCATAGGCCACCGCAAGGAGGAGCACTGGCTGTATGTCCCTTGTTGGGGTTTGGGGCTTTGGCCATTGCAAACAGAAACCTCATGCGAGGGCCCGTTAGGTCCTTTGCCTGTGCGTCGTGACAACTTTGCTGCTGCTTGAGGTCTGGGTCATGACTTCGTTCGTGCGTCCACTGATGTCTCACTTGTCAGCAAGGTCTTCCACCGCAGTTGCACAACATGAGCTACGATAGGAACTCCTGAAGTAGGCCGCGCTTCAAAGGCTAGCAAACTCCATATCGGAATGCCTGCAAAGCCCCATAGTGTCAATTGTTCGAACCACCCCTGAGGATCTTGTACAAACGACCTATATTCCGCACTTATCCTCCTGCCAATCTCTCTTGCCTCAACTCTGAAGGCATCTCGCTGAGATCGGCGGACACTGTCGACTTGAGATGCCGCTGGCTTTTCTCAGCGCCTGAACTCGGCTCAGCGCACAATGTTCAGGGGACTGTCATCAACGGGCTGTTTAACATGCACCCCAAGACAGTCGGGTTTTTGGGTGGGTAGGATTTCCTTAAGGCGTCCGTCACCTAGTCGTCGAAACCATTCCGGCCAACTCGTACTGCCTGCGGGCCATTTGTTCAAAATCCTGGTGCCTTCATGCGTCCCTGCATTCAGGATCTATTTTGTTTAGGGGGTGCAGAGAAGGACTTCAGTTTGACAGTTGAGGCTTCTCCAACCGGGGTGCCCTCGGATGAACCACCTGCTAATGGTCCATTTGGATGACTTTGGAGTGAGCATCTAGAAAACTCACCGAGTTTAGCACATTTCCCCTGTGTGCGTTGCCGGCTTCTGAGGGCGAAGCGGATCATGCGGCCGTCCTTCTCGTGCGACCTGGCACCATATTGTTAAGGCGGGTGAGTACATGGACAGTACAGGGGGCCTGTATGTGATAGTTAATGAGATTTAATGAGAATAAGCGCGTGGGTTGGACTGAAAAAGTTGGGGGACGAGCACGAAGAAAACAATGTCCATAAGTCTGCAGCCTCTTCCATGAGTTGAATTTTTCCAGCACTCCCAAAATCATTGATCGCAAGTCCGCAAACTTTCCTAAGTGCACAATTCAAACTCTCAAGCACGCACCAAACATTGTAAACCCTAACTCAAATGTCGTCTAGTCTAGGCCTAGACTTTTGACATGATTTCCACACTCCGAACGCCCTCAGGCGACCTCCAGACGGTCATCTTCCCCGCAGCGTCTTTGCTGCCCTCTTCCTCGGACTCCTCCGCTGCAGCATCCTCCTTCCATGACATGGAGACTGCGGAGACGGATAAAGGATGCCGTTACTGTATGAGGATTGCATAGGATTGCGATCGACATAGAGATCCTTCATTCGTTCATTACCAGGGATCCCATGCCGCTGCTCACCCTGCCAGCACATGCTAGTCCCAACCCCAAGCAAGCTGGCAGCACACTTGCACTCAAGGTGGCAACCACTAACTAACTAGTACTAGTTGATTACTTAGTTAATAGCGGCGACAGCAAGTCATTGCCATCTAGCAATGATGGCGAATTTCCCCTGAGGAGGCATCTACAGCCTGCTAAAAAAACACATGGCAAAAGTGCACCCCAAATGGCATCGATCTGCTACGGAGGAACCCCATCTTCCCTCTGGCCTTGGCTGAACAGGCCTCAGCCTTGTGCAAATCCTGAACGAAAACCTTGGGCTTTTGTCCCTCTGGCCAAGACCAGCGGGTATAGTACCTGTGCGTATGCTGGGAGGTTCGGGTTTACTCTTGAGGTAGCAGTATAGCTGTACCGTACCAGTTTAGAAGCATAAGAGTACTGAGCGACTTGGGTCTAACTTGCCCCAACTCAACTTGCTGAAAGGACAAGCTTCTATAAGAGAAGCACACATGCTCAAAATCCCGCACCTCTCGAAGAGAGGACCGCCCACCTCAAGCAACCCGGAGCTCCAAGATGGGGCTCAGGTACAGTTCAAAGCAAGACTGTCCGACTGGCTGAGGCGTGCACGACGAGCAGGGTACCCTTCTGCGTCTCACGGTCCAGCGGCACAATCGCAGGCATGCACCTCATTCCGCAAGCTTTGGACTCCAGCCCACTGCGTCAAGCCTGAAACCACTAGGCCGTGTGCCACGCATGCCAATGCTCACTCGAACCTGCTGGATCTGATACACTAACCTCCAGAAAGTCCGGCAGAATCCCGACATGCCGATTTTGCCCAAAACAAATCAAGTGCCATATTACCTCCTCAGGCAGCAAGCTTGACCACGACCCTTCAGAGCCCCTGAGAAAGCTGGCAGTCCATAATGAGCTGGGGGGCAGAGTGGAGGTGTTCTTCAGCAGCTGCGCCAGATCTGAGCCCGCCAGGACGGCGCGAAGGTCCAGGCCCTGCTGCCGTCGCGTCTCCTGTGGTTAGATTGGTGACTGCTGGGAGGGGGGGTGGGGTGGCGGCGGCGGTGGTGATAAGGGATGTCATCCTACGACAGGAACGTCATATGCAGCTACTAACCAGATTTCTGGCCAAGCGTTGTGGTTACAACTTCTGAGGCACAGCTAGCTCACCAAAGCTGCTGCCACCTGCAGTTGAATCATGATACTTGAACTTTGGAGCTGCGTTCCTGCAAGCACACTCATCATTAATCATAAGCTTAACACGAGGTGCCATGCGATAGGTCCTCAACGAAGGACTCCACCTCTGCTTGAAAGGTGTCCACCACCTCCTGGAGGTTTCTCAAAATCGGGGATCAAGAGCCCTACCAAAAAGTGATGGGGGACCCTCTTGAGGCTTTTGTGATTCCACTAGAGTCACTAGGGATGATTTTAGGAAACTCCCTCCTGCTGCGTGAGCTCCAGGGGAAGGTGTTGGTGTCGATGGGGCTTGGCCTTGGAAGCCTTGGCAGGCGCCTTGCAAGGAGTTGCAGTCTAAACCCCTTAAAGGGGGGTTATGTAGGGGAAGGGGGGTGATACTATTGGGTTCACTAAGGGGGATACTGGGAGTTTAGACTATAGCTCACGAAACGGCCATTCCCCCTCTACCTGGTAATTTCCAGGATCCTTTCACGCCCCTTACACACGAGGGTCAGGGCAGTTCTTTGAGGAAGCCTTTCTTACTTGCAGCTCCCACCTCTGCCGCTTTGCTTTCTGCAGAATGGACTTTTGCCTTCGGTTGATCCCGGGTGGCTTCAGTGCCTGAGGAGCCCTCCGCGTCGCTAGATTCCTGGGAGCAGGGTGGTCATTCAGGACTTCTTGCCCAGCTTTGCACCATGCGAGTCGAACAGGTAGCGTCAGCCTACGCTTTAACGCTTGAGGTATGCTGTCTCGCCCCCAGCGGAACCAGTAAAGAAAGACAACGGAAGACATGCTGCCTGGGAGTCCCCCGAACCCGAGGACTTCTTGTCATCTGCGCCCTTGGGCAGCCAAGGGAGCTTGACCTAGGGATCTCTCGAAACTCCGAATCGGCTTTTTTGGGGCAAATACACGTCCAACTCACAGGCTTGGTCTCGCATTCAGGGAACATAATGTAGTTACCGGGTTTGGTATCTTGGGGGTCAGGGACTGCACTTGTCCCCACCTTCATGATGTAGGCGGCAGGTGGCAAGGAGATCTCAACATCCTCACCCAGCCTGCTAGAAGGCAACAGGGTGAACGCCAACGAATCCCAGCACCTTCTACAGTAACAGTGACCATTATGACCTTGATGGAAATTTCTGGCCTCCTTGTTTTTATACACATGACGTACAGACACGCAGGATGTCTTCCCCCGAGTGCCCGGCACAAAGTGCAGGTTGGGAAGTTGATCCATGTTGGAGCAGTCCGAGGACACATCAAGGGTCTTTGTCAGCAGCCTTCAGAGAGAACATGGCGGCATGCCATGGTAACTGTAGATCTATGCATTTTTTGGGCATGATACTGATAATTTTCAGTATGGATCTTCAAAGGCCATCGAATGGTCTTACTATCACTAGACGTGCAGTCCTGCCTCACTGCCTCTGAAGGCATGGCCAAGATGTTTGACCCGGTGTCAATCACCGCCACGCAGGGCGAGCTGTCTCGGCAGAGGTGGAACTTCTTGTGGTGTGCCTGTGTGGCCCCAGTGCAACTGCTACACATGGCATACGGTAGCCGTTTGTCCTTGTATCTGATTGCGGCCTGAGAGGCATGAGTAGATGGCTTGCCCGTCGGACTATCCTTGGTGCAACTGTCCTAAGAGAGCACATGGACCAGCGGCGAGTATGAAAATTCCAAGGAACTGCATCAACATCGTCGCTGAGAAGGGATGATGCCTTGTGGCTGTGCCTGTTCAGGAACACGAGATCATAGTATATCATATTATAGTACAGTACAGTATAGTGTAGTATAGTATAATGTAGTATAGCATAGCAACAGTAACGCTTAGGCCCAGGCTTCCGATGCCGCACACGCATGTTGCTGAGCTTCACAGCCCAGTGCATCTGCCCTTCTACTGCCACAGCCTTCCCATCGCTAAACCTTAGACGAGGTAGCACACACGACTCCTCCCAAGCACGGGCTTCAGAAGCCATTGTTATGAAGACTGAGGCCCGGTGCTTGTCCCCCCATATGAAGGTACCTTATGGCTTCAGATGGCATACAACAACCGCAAGTTGCTGACCAACAAGCCCTGACTTTTCCGTCTGCAGCGCAGATTCCATCATTCTTCTTGCCACGGCAGTAGCCGAAGGAGTGCAGGACGCGCTTATCACGCAGTTTTGAATAGAAGGACTGGCCGAGAGACCGGTTCCTAACATGCCCAAACATGTGATTCTTCAGTACTCGCAATGCCCTGCTTTTCTTCCTAGCTTTTGCCTTTGCTGCCAAGGCTCATCATGTGCTGCAAGCCTAGGATTCCCGAGATGCCTTTGGAGGAGTGAAGGATCTGCAGTGAGTCTAAGCTGATCTCCGAGATCGGAAACTTTTGCATGCTCACATACTCTTCGGCCCCACCAATCCGGATCGTTTCCCTACCTTCAACCGTGATTGCCATACCGCTTCCATAGGCAATGAAGCCTTGTCGCGGGACCTTCTTCCCATGAGAGGACATGAAGAGCTGCATGTAGGACTTGGAGGAGTTGTGGTTATAGAGCCTGGCACTTGGGAAGATCTCTTCAGAAGCCCCTGCGTCGATCTTGTCTAGCTCAGCCTTGATCGTTGACCACGTTTTCGCAACGAACTTGTCACTGCCCGTGTCCAGGATCATGTTCAAGTTGACACTTGGAGTGCCAATGCCTAGCTCTCCTGTAGGCGTGGAGCCTGCTACACGCTGCCGGTATGTGAAAGCAAAGGCATCCTTCTCCTGCGGCTGCGCTGTCTCCTCAGGTACCTCTGACTCTTCCTCCTCTTCGTCTTCCTCCTCGTCCTCACTGTCCGCTTCGTTCACATCCGCCTGAGCCTCTGTCTTGCTTGGACCACGCGGGCTCCGAGAACTTTGTTGCGTGACTGCAGCCTCACAGGTCCCACTTCAGGAAACATTACAAAGTATGTTGTGCTATGGCTTGTGAGATTAGATGAAAACTTGTTAGATTTGATGAGAACGCGGCATGCTCCCTGCCTCGGGCCAATGGGGCAGGATCGCATTCAGGCTCATGGGCTCTGCTTGGGAAGAGACGCCGGAAATGATCTCACCCGTGGCATCCACGGCCACAGCATAACTTGTATCCACGCTGTTCTCCCCATTCTCTAGTGCGAACGCCGCTGCCCAGAGGCAGCACCAGAGAAAGGGTCGGCCGCGCACCATCATGATTCGTGGTTTATGGAAAGCCTGAGACTTAAAACCAAAGCATCTTGAGGCAAATGGCGGTAGGTAGCATGCAAAGTTCATGGTGTGAAACATGCCATGCTTGCGCAACGGGCATGCTGTCAGCGTTGTCGGCAAGAGATGCAGAAAAGCAAAACCTATTTTCCTGGGCGATCAAGTCGGCTCATGGTAAACATAAAGTCTGCTTGACGCCCCGAACTTTATCATGGCACCATCTTTCAGGTGCACTCGGACGTTCTTTTCGATCCGCTGTGCGTTGACCTGGCGCTATGTGACAAAATGAGCGTTCCCCTCTGCGCCCGCAGGCGAGTAAGATCCCTTCTGTCAAGACCGCTAAGCCAAATTAATGAATAATGATTCCAGGCAACCCCAACAGAATTCCCACATAAGCCTTCAACAGCCCCCTGCCTGCACGCCGTGGACGGAGAGGTCCATGAGGTAAATGCCCGAACCTCCCCTGGTCAGTGCTGCATGCTGCCTTCAGGCACTTGTGAGTGCTAATGAGACATACAAAAAAAGCAAGCAAACTCGAGTTCTGATGGAACCAGTGGAAGCAACACCAACCACAGAAAACTATGACGGTTGACACTTCGACAAAAATGTCGGGTCGTAACCAGCACCACGAGAGAATGTCCAGAAACCAGGCTTCATGCAACTTAGACACCGGGAGATCGTTGCATGGTTCATGGAAAAGTCCACTTCCCCAACCTGGGTTGGTGTTAATCAAGGGACTTAAAATGAGCTACCATACTACGGGCACGAGAGAAAGAATGGAATTCTCTTATAATGGAAACCTATAATAAGCTTCTTCAAGAAACCCTTTGTCACCTCAATTTCCGTTTCATTATCGAGTTGATGTTGGATTTGACTGGTTCATTATGGCAACTCAAATTAACAGCCAAGTAGTAGCCCCTACATGTAACCCCGACAAGTAACACAATAGTTTCTATTTGCTTTGTGGTTCTACATGGTAGCTTGATTTCTAATGGCAACGCAGCAACTGCCCGGCCCAGTGTCCAGCGCTGCTTGTCTGTTCCCAGCACGTGCCGCTCAACCCACTTCCCATCCTTCAGTTTATCAATTTTAAGGGTTTAGGGTTTTAGGGTTTCAGGTGCTAGGGTTTAGGGTTCTAGGGTTGAGGGTGCCAGGTTTAGGGTGTTAGGGTTTAGGGCGCTAGGTTGCCGACATGGGGATGTCTTAACAACTTGTAGAGGCCTAGTGACCTTGCCTGCGTCTTGAAGCCCTTAACATCCTAAACACCTTAGGGTACCCTACATTTGCTGAGCCTCCAGGCCTTAAGGCCATCCACCATTTAAACCCTGAACCCTAACTTATAAAAGCCTAAGCCCCAAACCCTAAACCCTAAAACATAAACCCTAAAACGTTTAGTGACTACGCCCTCTCCTTACAAACCCTGAGCCTTGCCTTCAGGACATCCAGGCAGGGCTGCAGCACGCGGGGCACTGGTGGAAGCTCCGAAGCCGCTGGCCAAGAAAGCCTGGGTTGCTTTTAAGGAACTTAAATGAACTTACTATATTGGGGAAGCCCTATTATTTACAATATATACCCATTATGGTAACTTAATTTAAGTTCCTTAACAGCAACCCAGAAGCTTGTCCTTCTCTTCCCTCTCGGCCTTCATATCTACAGTGGGTCATACTGAGTTTCTAGAGTCTAGAGGGGTTACACAGAGGGTTTGTGGTTTTGTATATGCATATATAAGAATGCAGATATGGAGGTTGCAGGACTTGTGAAGGGAGATGGGTTTTGAGAAGATAGGTTTGTGGGCAATTGCCAACTTCAGGATCCCATTTCTGTGCCCCAAAAGCTGGATGCCGGACAACGCAGGACACCATACTCAGGGCACCCACATGGTTTAAGGCTAGTCCGAGCAGCATGGCATCTACTGATCACTCTGTTTGCAAATGGTGAGGGCTGCGCCCTCCAAAATCCCCCCGCTCATTTTTGAGCAGGGCAAGATTACCTTGCAAGTTTTGTGACGGTTACAAAACACTACCAAGAGAGGTGGTGAAAAGATTCCGGTAGTTCTACACAATCAGACGACCAGACAAATGATGTTGATCAACACGACGGTGGCCACCATGGCCATCACCATCAGCATAAAAGGAGGATCCCGAGCTAGCCATAACAATGACAGTCATAGTGACAACAGCTCGCTATAGCCTATAGCCGCTTAACCATCTGAGCATAATCTATATCTTGATTAACAGACATTCTTGGTCGCACCTGCTTCTTCTCGCGAAGCTCTTCCTCCTCCTTCCACTTGGTGAGATCCTCCAAGACGAATAGACAAATACTTTTTTGTGCAGAGGGTTCCGCTTAAAGGTTGGGGAGAGTCAGCAGGCGACCGAAACACATGAAGCAGCAGCCACGAAGCATCCGAGAGAGTGTGCGCAGGCGAAGCATCCGCAGTGGCGCGCGTAGGCTGTACTAGAGAAATGTGACATTTCCCCATTACTTCAACCTTCTTTTCTGCTCTCTCCCTCGGAGCGGCCCCAAAATTCGCCTGCTGCCTGCTCCTCATCACTCAACTTCAAATGCAAGCGCGTGATGCAAAAATGCACAACTTTGGTAACCCTTACTTGCCTTACAGGGGCAACGTCTCCGTACTTCTTGCATCTGGCGATGAATCCGAAAAAAGTGTCGCGTTCCAGCATTCAGGTTCGTAGTCTACACGTCTACACGTGTCAAGCTGAGGAGTCCAGATGTCTCTAGTACTGCGACGGAACTCCAGTTCTGCCTGCTTTCTCTGATGTAGAACCGATGGCCCCGAGTTGATAATTACGGCAGCCCCGCTACTGTATTTCCCAAGATGTTGATGCATGCAATGTCATGCCAATACAGCCTCCGCTTACACCAAAACAGCATTCAACCTTCAACTCTCAAACATCCGTAAATCAAAGAAATGGGATCCGGCAACAAGCATGTTACGCTCTACAAAGATTGAAGCTGACCCTGAAGCCTGCTATGCCGTTAGTAGCACGAGCAGAACTACCATAACAAGCGATAGTAGGTAAGTGATGACAGACTATGCTAATGTTGAGCCTGACAGTTGATTGGTACAGCACCCCATTCTTGTTTAGCATTCCTAGTCTTAAAACAATACTGAGGACATTCCCGATGCGAAAAGTATTGCTGTTGCAAATCGCGTTGCTAATGATAATCATCACCGCCAAACATCATCCTAAGCGTAGAAGTAAAAGTTGCAACGCCAGAGTAGCAATAACCATCGTAATGATCATAATAGTCAAAGAGATACAGCAACATTAATAAGAACAATGCGAATAATATTAGCCTGTCCTCTCCGGTCACATTTTCCTCATTGTCATCTGCAGACTCCGACTCCTGGCCATCATCAAAGGCTACGGCTAAAATGGGGCCTCGATGATACTCTTTGCTCAAAATCACAAGGATACAAACATGAAGCGCTGGACTGCATGTACTCCAGTTGATACATGGGTGATGAGCACAAGGCCAAAGTAATCAGACTAAGGTTTCGGTTGCAGACTGCAGTGGACTCCTGCAAGGAACATGAAGGAAGGAAGGTGGCCGCCAGATAGCGGCGGATGGGGGAAATCTTGCGCCATCTGTGGCTTCTAACCGACCATGATTCCTAGGGCACATGACTTATGGCTTTGAGTTGCGGGCGCCCATCCAATATGTACAGTATTCCCTAAAAGCTTGTGTAATACAGGCACATGAAGCCAAGAATGCAGTAGCTGACAAGGGGGTGAGGGCGGAGTACGCTGGTGACCCAGAAAAAACTATGACAACCCCTCATGAGGTGCATGCAAAGCATTATTGGTTGGGTACTGCCCCCACCCTATAGTCTAAACTAAGGGCTATCTTAAGGGCTATATATATATATACAACTGTATTATGGCTGATTCTTCAATAACAACTGTTACACAGTGGGGACAGTACTCAAACTATTGGTGCTTGGGCTTGCCCAGAGCCCCTAGATCCAAAAACTGGAGCCCTCGAAAAACTAGGGGATCAAAAGGGGTTCCATTTGAGCTTTAGTCTACACACCTAGTATCCCCCGGAATAAGCCCTATAATAGTCCCCTATATAATCCCCTATATATAGCCCCCTTTAAAGAGTTTAGACCCTAAACCCTGAATCCTAAACCCTAAACCCTATATAACCCTCCTTTAAGGAGTTTAGACTATGACTCATTTGGTGTTTTGAGGCCTGCCTCGGATCCCTCCTGGGCAGCCTCAATGGCCTGCAGTCAGGCAGCCAGGAGTCTCGGGCCTTTAGGGCTAAGAGATTTTGAAGCTAGTGGTTAAAAGGGTTTAGGGTTTTGGGCTTGGGGTTTGGGGATGTAGAACTTCAGGCTGTAGCATTCTAAGACAGCAGGGCATTTTTGGCCAAGAGGTTCAGCGCTTCAGGGTGCAGGGATCTACGGGCTTAGGGGCAAAGGAGCTGTAAGGAAAAAACCTTCGAAGCACGCATATAACATGGATTGGTGTTCAATGTCTGGTTGGTCTGGCTGTCACCAGGAAGCTATTCTAAAAAATCACGTCAATCACCAAAGTCACTTTCGAAGTCAAGAGCAGTCACGAGTGGGATTTGTACTCAGGATGCCCAAGCAAAACCACATCCTGCCCAGCGTGGTAAAACTATACATCTTAGCATTCGCACACATGGTGTGTACGAGGAAGCCAGTGAGCATCTCATATTCTAATGCATGCGTACAACGCGACCGCAAAAGGACACATCTAAGGATGAAATTAGGAGGCGCCCATAACCCTGGGATTCGTATATAGCTACTATATACCCGATATGTAGCCTTAAGGGTCTATAGAATCCACCTAAAAGGCCTAAGGGCCCATATATACTTCTAATCCTGCAACAAAAAAGAGGAGCCGCTGTGCCCAACTACCACGTCAAACTTCAACTGGTGCAATGACCACAAATCATCGAATGTAGTCTCAAATTTCCTGAAGGTGGGGCCGCGCGTGCGTGCCCCTTAGTTTAAGATCATTTAGGGCTCATACAACAAGGACCCTGAATTTATGGAAATTGTCTCGAATGGCCATTTGTGCTACTGAACGTCAGCCGCCTTCAGCGCGGCGCGGCGCTCGGCAGCCTTGCCAAGAACAACTGGCACTCTTGCCATTGGATGGGTGGGTCAAGAAGCGTTCAGTTACAGGGAATAAAGGTATGGGGGTATGTAGTGTAGTGAATTTGGGTTCAGGGTGGTAAATGCCTGAGGTCTAGGGTCAACGAGGGTCAAGCAATTAAATCATGATTGTTACCGGGTCGAGCCTGCGAATCATGATTGCAACGGGTCTTCATCTGGCATACAATTCTTGTCACAAGAACAAACAATCAAGTAGTACCAACAGCTGCGCCACACCGACAGCGTTTACAAAGTTTTCGGGTTTGGTAACTACCCACAACTTTCTGGCCAAGACCTGCTTAAGAAGCGACATGGGTCTCGCCCATAAAGACACCTAAGCCACCTAAGTGTGACCTTGCAGAGAAACGCTGCAGTCTCCTGCCGTTTGGCCTTCAAGCACTCCACGTCCCCGTTGCAGACCCCCACAAAGACTGCTGTTTTTGAACACCTTCATGGACAATCAAATGGAAAAGAGCATGGACAATGAAATGGAAACTGGGGGAATGTAGGGATCTAAGGAACTAAACCTGTCCCCGCATATCCTCAGTCCCAAGGCACTGAGGATAAAAGACCCATCCCTCCTGCAGTCTCCATCCCAACCCCGAACATAAGCCTCAAATCCCCAAACCCTCAGCCCTACCTCCGTGGGTATATAGGGGATATAGGTCCCCATTAGGGTATTGGGGTTCTGTTGGGATCATGGAAATGAAATGGAAACTACTATGATGAGTCAGCTTGAATCATCCTGCCTTGCGCTTGGCCTCTTCCAACTCTGCCTCCGCCGCAGCTTCATGCTCGGCCTGCCTTTCAGACTTGGAGCCACAGGCAAAAAACGAAGACAAAAACCCAGTTTCCATTTTATTTCCATTAGCCCAATATAACCCCAATATAGCCCTACTATTACCCCAATGGTACCTATATCCCCCTGCCTCATTTCTCTAGGAGGAAGGGATGCTTTTTGTGGTGCGCATGCCCTCAAATCTTTACAGAATCCGTAACGAGGATTCAAACATTACATATTTCCAAGTCGGCTGTTGGGCTCATATACTGGCGGCTACACAGGCATCGGGAACTGGTGCGGCAGCACCGGAATCATAAGCTGCTGCAGGTGTTTCGAGATTCGGGCATCCTTGCCGTCAGTTGAGCCGTTACAAAGAGGGAGTTGTGTTGGCGTCACACAAAATACGTATCACGATAACAATGTTGATAATCAGTGGATTGTTTACTGACTCCTTACTCATGACACAACAATACAATCCTGCTGAAGCTCAGCGTAACAGCGCGGGCCTCTGCCGAACATCTTCTGAGACTGGCGGCGGGGGCTGCGCCTTCTCCTCATCAGAGAGTTGATGAGTTCTTCTTATTCATAGCGCCGCTCCTCCCACCATTGCTTCGGCTACTGTCTTCTCCATCTTCTGACCGTTACATATGCATGTTCCCTATACCAAGGTACCAGGTATATGAAATATCTACGTGGTATATGGTATTATTGGTAAGCTTTTTACTGTTCCCATGTTTCTCATTTTAGCCACAGGCGCCTGCACCTTCTCAGCGCGCTCAACTCGTGGCCGCTTGCCTGGCATCTGGAGGTTCTTGATTCAAAAAGTTGCATCGTTCTTCCTGCAGCTGCTCCGGCTCGTCACTGCCGTCGGTCGGGTGTGGTGCAGTTGAGAAGGGATGTCGCTTTTCCAAGTGTGATGTCCAACAACTACTCTCCTACCTCTCCTTCCCCCTGCGCCTACTGACTGCTACTGCTAGTACTGTGGCTTCTACATGCAGTCTCTTGCTTCCTTATTGGTTAAGGGAAGATTATCAATATACAATACCCACAGAATATATTCCTTAAAAGAGGAATGAGGGAATATCATCCGTATATCGTACCTACAATATGCTATATTCCTTGATTCCCTCCTGACAGCCAGTAAGTCTACTGCTCTGGGCTGGTTGCCAAGTAAGCCTCAACCCTTGGCCTGGCACCGCTGCGCGAGGTCCAGGTCTAGCAACCTGCGTCTTGCCTTGGCGAATACTACCGGCAAAGCTACTATGAGACCGTTATGACTATTACTACGACTAATGCTTTGATTACCAGTAAAGTTGTTGTTACTATGAGTAGTAATATACTGATTGTTACTAGTGATATTGTTTTTTGCTCAAAATCTGTTTACTCTTAATAATATTATTAAGATTATGAACATTATTCTTACTACTATCTTGATTACTACCATAAACATTACTGTTTCTACTTATCTCTTACTATCATTACTATTACTACCTAGGTTTCTCTCAATCATGGATCGTGTATGACGGGTTCCTTACGGCGGGGTCCTTACAAGCGGTGTAAAGTTACTTCAGGACCGCCTGGTTCTGACAACTCCGCAGTGTGCAGGTTATATATGCCGCCCTGCTACATATTACAGCGCGTAAACCCTGTAGTCCCCCTTAAGTAGATAGAAGATGGCTTGGGGTATAGTATAATAAGACCCCATATTCATATACCTCATATTCTATCTACTTAAAAGGGACTATAAACCCTGCCAGACCTCATCCAACGACATTGGTGTGAGAAAAAGAAATCACAGTGCAGTCCTCAGGACCGGTACCTGCTTGCTGTATTTCTAGATTGCTGTAGACCTTGTGCTAATAAACCCCCGCCTAACCGCAAAATCAAAACTCCAGCATGTCACCCCCCCCTAGTTTCCAACATCCAATCTGCCAAAAGGCAAAAATGTGGCAGCACCAGAAGAAGAGCAGTGTCTTCTACTGGCTAGTACTACTAGGCTACGACGACTGGAGCTCCAGCTCATGGACCCGGATACCCTTAGTTACGGAGGCGTGGGCCCACATCCTGGGGGCGGAGGGGGGGGGGGGCTTATTAGAGGTGAACATTATGGTGGTGTCCTCTGCAGCTGCCACACAAAATCGGCCACTTAGGGATTCTGAAAGACACCGGACTTCAAGAAACCGCTGTCTGCCAAGTCGCCGGTCAGGATGTTCGCATAGTAGTAAGCACCTGCGCAGCAACTCACCCAAAGAAAGCAAAGAATGCATAAGAGCTATAGTTTAAACTCCTAGCATCTCCCTTAAGAACCCCTATAGTAATCCCCTATATAATCCCCCATCTAACCCCCTTTAAAAAGTTGAGACCCCATCTCATACATGCTCATACAAGCTTTTGAAGTCCAGCTCACTAGGAAGGCCAGGCCGATCTCATCCCGCCTTTCTTGGTCTTGGAGGCCTTGCGAACCCAGCCATATGGCCTAGGTTGTTGTTCTGACCTTTGGTTAGCTGGGAATGAAGGAATGGAAAAGAACATGGAGACTAATTACTATTATCAAGGGCGTATATTATCATAAGGACTACTGTAGAGATCCACTCCTTCGTTCCTGACCTAAGGTAAGGTCTTCTGACAACATGGAGCTTGGGCAATCAATCACTTAAGGGGGCTTACGAAATCAAATTGTTGATTTCTTGCTGGTCTCATCCGTTCTCAGAACTGTGGTAGCTGGTGCAGCCAGGTAGTGTCTGAATGATTCCGAAAGCATATCTAGATTTGCGGCTCCACACAGCAAACTTCAGCACACATAAATCAAGCATCAGAAGCGGGACCCGCAAGGCTGAAACTTGCCCTACGATAAGCGCGTCAAATTGCAGAAAAGGACAGACGACTCAAGACATCCCAAAATGGAAGCTTCTCAAATTTCAAATGGACCCATGAGAGAACACAACCTGCTCCCACGATTTCTAGGGCAACCCTAGCCTAGGAGCCAAAAAGCCCGAAACCCCCACAAGAGGACCGTATACGGTTGCAGGACAGTGGGAATTTCTGTTTGGGAAGATATCATCTCCCTCACCAAACGACCGTGACAAAACAAAACAAAATTCCTAGGAGCCTCAAGGTAAACGCGGGTTACAGCTTTTTACTATCTTAGTCTTTCCGCTCTTGAAGACCCTACATCCCCGAACCCGACCCCGGAACCGCTCCACCGCCCCTCTACTTGATCTCTAGACTCTAAACTCTTCCCATACCATTAACTTTCAACTCATGTTTACATCCTCTGGGCAAATTCAAGAATCCTAAACTCACCGGTAAACCCTAAACCCCTAAATCCCTACAAATCCTTTGAACTTCTGGGTGAAGATCCCAGTGGCAGTGGCTCTGCAACGGACCTTTTACGACTTGACTGAGCTTTGTCATCCTTCGGTGCCTCCTGAGGGTAGCTTGCAAGCTGAATAACCCTATACATACCCTAGTATAATATAGTGGATTCCTTTGTCTTTGACATAGTTCCAATATAACCCCAATGAAAATCCTATATAACCCCTATATAACCCCTATAAAAGTCTGTATAATATAGTAGGTCTCCAGGTTTTAGGACCAAGGTTGGTGGAGACGTAGGTTTTGGGCTTCAGGGGTTTAGGGTGTGAGGCTTCAGAGTTTTGGTGTTTCGGGCTTTATAGGGTTTAGGCTTTAGGGGCTGGCGTTTGCATTTGGTTTTAGGATCGGAGGAGGGCAATGGCAATGTTCCCCGACACTCTTCTTGAACATCTACACCGTGTTTATTTTGGCGGCTTGTTGCAATCACAGCGGCTAAAGCCAGCCTAGGGTGTCCGAAGCTCCCGTACCACTACCATCGTGCCACAACACAGTCAACACATTTCAGTCCGTGCGGAATTACCGTGGAGTCAGGCCATGAAATAATAAGTGTATTATTGTATATTATAGTATATCATAGGATGTGGGGACAACATGGGTTGGAGGTTGTTGATCTTGATAATGCTCGTCAGGTCAAAGAACTCTATTGCTGTGTCTCATCCTATTGTCTGCGCAGCCCTTGTATAGTGTGGTTCTATTGGGGTTCTATCGGGGTTTTACTGGGAAAATGGGGAAGAACTGGAAACTACAGGGATTATGTTCACAGTCCTAATGCGCCTTACGCGGGTGGATACTTCAGTTCCTGGATGGATGAAAAAGATCAGATCAAGGCCAGAGTAGGTCCCATTGCTAATGCCCTTCCACACCCGTCTAAAGAAACCGGACCGCAATTTTGACCTGAATGACACACTGCCTTGGAACCGGTTCGGTGCCTTGATTGAGAGGGAAGACGTGCGGTACTTCCATAAACTCGTACCACAACCCCACGCCTCCTGGAAGAAATGCCTTCTGCCCAAGAAATATCCTTGTCAGCCGTTCCTTCACTCCCACCTGAACACCTGGAAGCTTTAAACCTCACAAAGCCCAAACATGTCTGTTTTTTCTCCTGAATAGGATGCCACACACCCACAAGATTTGATACCACCGAATGTCCACAAAATCCAACACCCTCGAAGGCTGACCTCGATGCTTGTAAGGTCTGTCCAGGAGGTCGCACGCTTGCGCCCCAAAGTCTAAATCCTGAATCCGAACCTGGACCAACCCCGATAGCCAGCAGTCCCCAATTTCATCCCTAAACCCTGAACCTTTATTTCAACCCTGAACCCTAAAACCCTACAACCCTAAAACCCTTAAACCCTGAACCCTTTAACCCTCAACACTTAACCCCCCCTAACCCCTAAACCCCTAAAACCCTTAGACCCTAAACCACCAGATCTGGGTTTCCTTGGGAGCTTCCTTTGAAGCTCCAGGCTTGCTCCCCAGCTCTTCCTGAGTCAAAGTTAGGGCTATGGAATAGGTTCAGGGTTTAGGGTTTTGGGTCCAGGGTTTAGGGTTTGGGGTTTAGGGTTCAGGGTTTAGGGTTTGGGGTTTAGGGTTCAGGGTTTAGGGCTTAGGGTTGACAAGGCTCTGGCCATTTTATCCTATAGTCCCCCTTAGGTAGATAGAACATGGAATTGCCCAATAGCAAAAGAAGATCTCCATATACACCAGATTCTATCTCCTTAAGGGGGACTAGAGTTCCAGAACCTAACAGTCAGCCCATTCGAGACCCATGTTCTATATAAACCACCATTGAGGGTGCGGGCGGGTAGGGTCGCTATGGCTTGGCCAGACTGTACATGCTCATGCGCTGTGATTGTCAATTCAGCCAATGACACGTACATGAATGAGGCGAATGGAAGTCAAATATGTGTAACCTTGGGGACTCTTACATACCTACCATATTGCCTTATGTACCCTTAAGGGCCTCTAGAATCCCCCTGAAAAGGCCTATTGGCCCATATTCGGAGCCCATACTTCCAACCTTAGAAACAATGAAAACTTTCACTCTACTATATTATACTATACTATATTCTACTATATTACATTGTATCATATTCTACCATATTATTTACAACCCGGATTCAACTTCCTCCTCTGAAGATAGGCAAACCTCAGCCATGGCAGGCG